TCTCTCTCTCTCTCTCTCTCTCTCTCTCTCTCTCTCTCTCAGTCCGGTACTAACCTGTGAAGTTGGTGCCTTGATGCAGGTACCTCGAAGATGGAACTGGAGCCATGGCGCCACAGGTAAGTCTCACTGGCCTCCGCCAGCCATCTCTCCCCAACACTACTACTACCACCTACTAGCGCCCAGCGCTGAAGACTACTGCTATGGCTACTAGCGCCCAGYGCTGAAGACTACTGCTAGCGCTAAGCTACTCCTGCAGYGCYCCTCCTGAGTATTGCGSCTGAATCCTGAAGACTACTCCTGCCTTCTGTCCAACTACCTCCCTGTGAAGTGCGTGGGAACTCCCTATGTACTTCTCGGCCTGCCTCCTGACTGCAGGGCGAGGCAGTCCAGGAGGCTGCTCTTGCCAATGCCGAAGGGAGTCAGGGGCTGCCGCTGCAGCTCCTGCTTGAGGCTGTCGTGGGAACAGGCCAGAAATAGCCGGTTCACAAAACCCTGGTTTTGTGCCTGAGTGTTACGGTAGGTCGATCTTATGAGGGCCCGAAAGTGGCCCTCCGTTTCAGGTTGAAAAACCCTGTTTTAGGCTGAAAATGAATTAGGGCTTGCAGACCCTCGTTTTAAGTTCTGAGGCTGAAACGACATGGGGCTTGTAAGCCCCTATTTCTAGGCTTTTAGGCTGAGAATGCGGGACGGGCCGTGCAGGCCCGTGTGGCTACGTAGTATGCCACCCCCCCCCCTCCTTGAAAGACCGAGCTTACCTGCGAGGGCGAAACTCTCTGTCTTAGGGAGGGACCACAGTCCGGGTGGGAGGGGCAGGTCGTGAAGGTCCCTGAGCTAACCTTTGTCGCTCGTAGTGAGCGTAGATCAGCGGTGCGGATGCTTTCAAATCTATTCCTGAAATCCACCGAGTGTCGTCAGGATCGCATGCTTTGAATGTAACTTTGTACTGTCGAGGCTTACTGCCGTACTTGCGATCCGTGATGACGCGGTCAACTTCCTGATGACCATCCATAGATGGAGGCATTGGAGGGTCCTGCGATCGTCGGCCCGGGAAGTCGTCGCTCTTAGCTGGTGTATATGTTGCCAGCTTCGAGGTATGAAAGACTGGATGGACCACCAGATGCGGGGGGATGTTGATCACAAATGAAGGGCCATCGGGCTTATCGCCCGCAACTAATGTTACGGGCCATGGTCCAAACCACTTGGGAAGCAGTTTGCGTGAAACATCCTGTTCCAGTGCAAACTCATCCGCGGAGACCCAAACCAGATCACCGGCGCGGATGGGACATGGCACGCGACGCCTGTTGGCTTGCTGCTGCATGCGGACTTGAGCCTTTTGCATATTCGCGCGGGCTTGAGCCAACAATTCCCTGTACTTCCGGACAGAAGCGGGAGAGCAAGCGGCGTCGATGTCGGCTGGTCGTGGGAGGAGAAGGTCGGCGAAGATACGACCTTTCCGTCCACCGTGGTGCAACTCGAATGGAGTCAACGCCGATCGCCGGGTGCACCGAAGTGTTGTTGGCGAACTCGATGTCAGGGAGGCGGTCAAGCCAATCTTTCTGGTCCGGACGGATGAGCGTACGAAGCATGATTTGAGCGGTTTGATGTCCCCGCTCCGTTTGCCCGTTCGTCTGTGGATGTCGAGCCGTACTTGGTTTCATCTTCTTGCCGGACTCCTGCATGAGAGCAAACCAAAATGTCGACATGAAGCGAGTGTCGCGGTCGCTGACTATGTTTTCCGGTACATCGTGGCCGCAAATCCAACCGGTGTGCAAGAGGCGTTCTAGCTCGGGAGCCGTGGAGTAGTACTTGCAACGAAGAAAACGCACATACTTACTCAAACGGTCCACAACCGTGAGGATGCCGTCGTGCCCGAGGCGATTGTGGGGAAATGGTCCGGTGACATCCATGGCAATGGAGAGGCCGGGTTCCCGTGGGATAGGCATCGGGCGCAGCTCGCCGTAGGGATTGCGATTGCGGGGCTTGCTTCGTCGGCAAACTTCGCAAGAGTCGCAATACCGAGTGACATCGGTAATGAGGTCGGGCCATCGAAAACGTTGTCGAAGCCGTGCAATAGTGCGGTTGGCTCCTAATTGGCCGGCGAGTTATGAGTCATGGTACTCCCCGAGAAGGCAAGTCTGAAGACGACGGTCTCGTGGGACACACAATAAGTCCTTGCCTCTCGAGTGGAGGAGCAAGTACCCGTCGACAATGTGATAGTGGCTGGCCGGCGGATGATCCGAAGATAGCTGTGCATACAACGTGGCGAAGTCCGGATCAGACTCATAGCCCTAGATGAAGTGTTGCTGGAGTTCCTCGTCGAATGCGAAGGCATGATGTGTCATAGCGCAAAGATCAGGTCTTCTCGAGAGTGCATCTGCTGCGCGATTGGAGAGGCCGGGAAGATGTTTCGGTGTGAAGTCAAATTGGTCAATAAAGTACATCCATCGTCCGATCGTGCTGCTCACCGTATCCTGCGACTTGTAGTAGGCCAATGGGTTGTTGTCCGTGACCCATGTGAACCTACGACGCCCAAGGAGGAAGTGCCGCCATCGCTTGAGAGCCATCACGAACTCGAGCGGCTCCTTCTTCCTTGCATCATCAAGCGAATTGATGGCAAGCACTTTGTGGCTGAAATACTCCACAGGGTGCCGGTCGTCGCCGTCATGTTGTTCCAAGACTGCCCCAATGCCATAGCCGGAAGCGTCAGTTGTTACTCTCATAGGCAGGGTGGGGTCATAGATGCTAAGGACGGGTGCCATGAGCATGACCGTCTTAAGTGCTTGGAATGACCGGCATGCATCGTCATCGAATACGAATGGCACCTTTGGCGATTGTAATCTCGTCATAGGTGCAACAATCCTTGAGTACCCGGTGATGAATCGCTGACAATAGCCTGCCAACCCCATGAATGAACGGACGTTCGTGGTGTTGGTGGGCTCGGGCCATACGCGTAGGGCCTCGATCTTGTCCGCAAGCGGACGGATGCCTTGAGGCATCACATAATGTCCCAAGTACTCCAGCTCCTGCCGCGCGAATTCGCACTTGTCGCGGTTGGCTTTGTCCTTGGCTTGTCGTAGCCGCTCCAAAACGGTGCGCAGGTGTTCCACATGCTCGTCCAAACTCCGACTGTACACCAGGATGTCGTCGATGTAGATAAGTACGTATCGATCTAGCATGTGTCGGAACTCCGTTGTCATAGTCGCTTGGAAAGTGGCCGGGGCATTCGTAAGGCCAAATGGCATAACCAGCCATTTGAAATCCCCATATCGCGTCTTAAACGCGGTTTTGTAGCGGTCCTCCTGCCGAATCTCGAGTTGGTGATATCCCGACTTGAGGTCAAGCTTGGAGAAGAACTTGGCGCCTCCCAGCCGTTTGAGAAGGTCGTCGATGCGTGGAAGAGGGCCGACGTTTCTGATTGTTTGCGCATTGAGCTTGCGATAATCGATGCACAACCGCAAATCCTTGTTCTTCTTCTGGACGAAGAGAACGGGGGCACCGTATGGCGATGAGCTAGGCCGAATCCAGCCTTTCTCCAGAAGGTCGTCGAGTTGTGGCCGTAACACACTTAACTCTTCCTCGCTCATTCGGTAGATGCAACCGCGCAGAGGTACAGCCCCGTCCTCGAGGATGATCTCGTGGTGGATGAGACGATCCGGTACTACTCTGTGCGGGCCTTCGAACACGTCGCCGTAGGCGTCGAGAAGTTCGGTGATGCGTGGGTCCCAAGATGATTCCGTCGATGAAGCGTCATGGGGCGGGAGGGCATGGAGAAAACACACCCCCATCTCCTCGATGTCGTCTCTAATGATGGAAGCTCGCATGCTTGTGGCGGACACCACGTGGCAGCTGATTGAAGGGTGAGGAGGAGCTACCGTGTATGGAACTAGTACTCCGTTCCGATTACGAACGTGAACGGTGCGGCGGTAGAAGTTCACCGGGTGATCCTCGCTTCGCAGCCATGACATGCGCAAGATCATGTCGAAATTGGTGTCCAAAATATCGAAGGACACCGCCTCGCTTGCATGCGGGGCAAAGTACACGGGGACGTCATCAATGCACCGGTCAATTGACTTGTGCGTGTGACCGTCTGCCAGTGTGACTTGCGTCGGTTGGGACTTCCTCCGGACGTGTGGGCCAAGACCGACGCGTACCATAAAGTCCCGGCTCATGTAGTTGCGAGATGCTCCGCAATCGATCAAAGCGCTGCAGGTCGTCTCTTTGATCTGAATGCGTACATATAACAATGGTGCGTCGATGTCGTCGTACCGTTGTGTCTTGAACTCGCAGTCGATCTTCGCAATGTAGGCGTGAAGGTCGACAACCTCTACTCCGGCGTCCATCAACGGAGTTGGTACTGCAGTGTGCAAGTAATCCCGCAATTGTGCCATGAGCACGTTACAATGCGGTTTCGGCAATCGACCGGACCGGGGAAGGGGCATCCATTGGAAGTCCGCAAACGTCAACGGGTTGAGCTCTTCAAGTCTTGACCATGACGTTGAATCCCCGACGATAGATGGCGGCGAAGCTGCCGAATCGATTGCCGATGGTGATGAAACCGTGCATGCGGTAGATTGTTGCACGTGGAGTGGTTGGTCCAACAGTGGGACCAAGTGGACAACATAGTCCTCGTAAGTATACCGAGAACTTGCGACATTCGCATCCTCCCCAGATGTGTAGGAGGCCGCTAGCAAGGCGGCCGAATCTGGCGGAGTGAGAGGTGGAGTCGCCTCACCTCCCGCGGAACTCAGTTTCCTGAGTTGATACGAGGCCGAACATCCTCCTTGCCTTGATCCGGGCATTGGGAGGTCTTGCACCAATAGCAGCAGCCGTAGCATCCGCGCCACTTGTATTCCGCCTCGGTCAAGTGAAACTTGACCCATGGTGCTGGCTGTCCGTTTCCGGCCTGCGATGCGGTTTTTGACTTCCCGTTTCCTCGTGACTTGTTGTTGCTTCGCGGCTGGACAGCAGCCACCTGATCTCCCTCACGTGACGCTTGGGTGACTGCCGGGTCTTCCACAATGTTGTCCGATTGGACTACAACGACATGCTGCGGCCGCGGACCAGTTTTCACCTTCTCCATATAGGTTGACTGCCATGCTGATTTCTCATGTGCAGCTGCCCTATTGGTCTTGATGATCTCCCTTGCATTGTCGATGATTTCGGCGAAGGTCGCGTATTGCTCGCGATCACCAAGTGCCAGGCTCAAGGCGGCACATGACCGGTTGTAGAACTCACAGCGCAAATGCGAAAATGGCAAGTCAAGATCGGGCTTTGCCGCGATCTTTTGCCATTCCGTGAGCCAGTCACGTGTCGATGTGTTGCCTTGCGTCATAGCGAAGAGGCGGATGATGGCGAGCGTCGGGGCGTCGTCCACGATGAACCGCTTCTTCCATAGCCGTGTTAACTCTTCCCAAGAGATCTTATCTTTCAGATCTGCGACGTCGATGCCATGGACGGTTGCCAGGTGGCTCAGCCAGATCTGGCATCCGCCCTTTGAGTTGAGGAACAACGCACCGATGTACGCGTGCTTGGCGACGAACAGAATCCGAAGTTGCGTTGTAAAGCCCTCCCACCAAAGGACCGGGTCTTGATCCGTATAATCATCGAACTTCTTGATTTGGAATGTCGGTATCTTGTACTGCTGCACGGCGTTGCCATCCTTGTTAGGCAGCTGGTGCAGTTGCTGAACCTCGGTCTTCAAGGTGTCCAGCTGATTGCTGATGGTGGCTGGTGCAGCGAAGGTACTGATGTCGCCGAGCATTGCGACTACGTGATCAACTCGTTCCTCCAGTTGGCGGCCAGAGGGTGCACTGCTGGATTCGCCAGCCTCTGGTCTTGGTGCAGTTTGCTCCAAGTCCTGTACACGGGAATCAAGTGCCCGTGCTGCATCCTCGTGCTGAGCCTTGTGGTTCCGTACGGCCCGCTGGAGGTTCGCCAACTCGGACTGCAGGTGATTACAAGTGTAGACCAACCGGGTCACGAGCTTGGCCATGAATTCCTTGTGTTGCTCCTCCGGTGTTGCGTCGTCGTGCCCCTCGGATGGTTCAAAGTGCCAAAACTTGAGCTTTTCGATGCTAGTGGCTTCATGCCGCTGTAGCAGATCCTGGGCCTCCTTGCGGCGTGCCTGGGTATCTGCTTCAGCTTCGGCTTGAAGTCGCTGCTTCTCAGCTGTTGCCGCTGCTTCAGCCTGTAGGCGGACAGCCTCGGCTGCCACCTGGCGCTGTTCCTCAGCCTCGATCAGTGCGAGCTGAGTCTGGAACCGCTGTTTGTACTCGTCAATGGACTCGTTGGCCAGTTGGCCTGGCATGCCCAGAGCTGCGCCCGTCATGGTGGCGGGTCACTGCTGACGCGGCACTGTTGCTGACGTGGCACTTGCTGATGTGGCACTGCTGACGTGGCACTGTTGCTGACATGGCACTGCTGATGTGGCACTGCTGACGTGGCACTGCTGACGTGGCACTGCTGACGTGGCACTGCTGACGTGGCACTGCTGATGTGGCACTGTTTCTGATGTGGCACTGCTGACTTGGCACTGTTGCTGACGTGGCACTGTACCAACCCGGAAATGCATGCAA